TTTTTTTGGAGACAGAGTCTTGCTTTGTTGCCTGGCGCCAGGCTGGAGTACAGTGGTGCAATCTTGGCTCACTGCAACCTCTGCCTCCCAGATTCAAGCAGTTCTCCTGCCTCAGCCTCCCGAATAGCTGGAACTACAGGCCCATGCTACCACGCCCAGCTAATTTTTGTATTTTTTAGTAGAGATGGGGTTTCACCATGTTGGCCAGGATGTTCTCAATCTCTTGACCTGGTAATCTGCCCACCTTGGCCTCCCAAAGTGCTGGTACTACAGGCATGAGCCACCGCGCCCAGCCTTAACGTTTTAATTTTCACATTAAAAAAAACCATTTTATCACCACACTCTAAGAAACTTACTAAGAGTTAATTGTAAGTGATTTAACTTTAGCCACATATGGTTAGTGGCTACATCTTGGACAATACAGCTTAGGGAGAGGTGAGGAGGCAGGTCAGAGGCTCTTCTGAAAGATCGTGCCTCACACAGTCCAATCCCACACCTTCCAGGGGCTAATCGAACTCCACATGGTATTGCCAGCACCTGATACCGATGAGAAGAATGGCCTGAACCTTCTGCGGAGACTCTGGGTGGTCAAGTTTGATAAGGAGGAGGAGATCCGGAAGCTGGCTGAGAGGTGAGAGCCAGCACATCATTTTCTCCTGCTCCATCCTCTCTCCCTTTAGGAAGTAACGGAACCTAGTGTGTTCAGCCTCTAGTGGGGAAGACGGGCTGGGTTGGCAGAGCAGGTGCTGCAGATCTTTGTCTAAGTAGCCCTTCTTTGGATCTCCCACAGGCTCTGGTCAGTGATGGGCCTAGACCTGCAGCCAGACCTCTGCTCCTTGCTGATCGATGACGTGATCTATCATGAGGCGGCTGTAAGGCAGGCGGGGGCTGAAGCCCTTTCCCAAGCAGTGGCACGTTACCAGCTCCAGGCAGCGGAGGTTATGGGCAGACTCATGGAGATTTACCAGGAGAAGCTCTACGTGAGTGACCTGTGCAGCCCTGATGCAATACAGTTGGGTGGATCTCTGCTCAGACCCCTACTACTACAGACAGGAATCTCAGGGCTCACAGTGGCTCAGGGTAGCTGCAGCTAGTTTCCCACCTCACAGTCCTGGTGCCCAGGTCATTCATCTGCCCATTGCAAAGCATTTACCAACTTGTCTGTTGCAGCGGCCACCCCCAGTGCTGGATGCTTTGGGACGAGTTATTTCAGAATCTCCTCCAGATCAGTGGGAAGCCAGGTATAACAATTGTTCCAGCCTCATTCTACTCTAAGCTTTCTGAGATGTGGCAGGTTGGCTGGGTGGGTGCTATGAGGAGGCAGCATGGGAAAGTGAAGGACCTCCCCCAGAGTTGGGGAGGCCTGAGTTCAAGCGCTGGCTCCTCCTGCACTAGCTGCGTGACCGTGAGTGTGTTTCTCCCTTTCTCCAGGACTCTGTTTCCTCATCTATATGCAGGGCACAGTAACTGAAGCTACCAGCCTTTCTCCACAGAGCCCACGAGTAGCAGTTGGAGGATTAGACAGATGTCTGGGAGCAAGTGGGACCTTGAAAGACACTTTCTTCCCACAGAGCAGGCGCAAAACTTGTGAGGGTGTTAGTTTTCTGAATGGCTCATCCTGTGAGGTCTTGTGTGTCAGTGCAGGGTAGTGTATGGGCCCATCCTGGCTTATTTTTCATTCCAGATCATCAGCCAGGGATAGAACACAGATTCTTTGCTCTGTGACTGGAAAGGATAATACCATTTTGCCCTTCGAGAATATGTTCATTTCCAAGGGTCTATATATCTGGTTCTTTTACCTCTGTCTTCTCTTACAGCCTGCCTTTTGCAGGTAGAGGGGTGAGCACTGTACTCACATTCCCCTCTGGGGAAACCAGTGCAGGGCTGGTCACCCAGTAGTAGGTAAAATCAGGGCAGATGGCAGGTCTTTATATGACAAGTGGGTTGTTCCAGAACATTGGGTGAGCACTGGGTGGTGGTCTTCATGCTGTTCTCTGTCCCTAAAATGGTGTTTGCCTGAGGCAAGCTCCCTCTCCTTGCTGTGCACCAGCAGAAGTTCCAGGGGTAGAGGAGGCCCCCTGGCTGCCTTTCCTGATGTGCTCCCGCTTCTTTCCCAGGTGTGGCTTGGCCTTGGCTCTCAACAACCTCTCCCAGTATCTGGATAGCTCTCAGGTGAAGCCACTCTTTCAATTTTTTGTCCCTGATGCCCTCAACGACCGACACCCAGATGTCCGGAAGTGCATGTTGGATGCAGCCCTTGCAACACTCAACACCCACGGGAAGGTAAGAGGATTTCAGTCAGCTGAAGAGACAGGGTAGGCCAAGGCAGGCGGTAGGGCTGAGCAGGGGACAGAGATGCTAAGTGCCAAGAATCCTGGCACTCAGTGACAGGGTGGGATGTGACATGCGTATTTCCTTTGAGCCAAAAAAAACCAGTATGTTAAATTATTTTAAGTCTGTAGCAGTCCTGCCAGAAAACTAGGAGACCCGCTGGTGGGCATGTCAGGATGCCTGTCCTAGAGCTAGACATGGTCTTAGTCTTCAGGGACTGTCGTCCTCAGACGCAGCCCATAGGTTGACCTGAGTAGTTTGGCTTTCCAGGAGAACGTCAACTCACTGTTGCCAGTATTTGAGGAGTTCCTGAAGAATGCACCCAATGATGCCAGCTATGACGCTGTGCGACAGAGTGTGGTGGTCCTGATGGGCTCTCTGGCCAAGCACCTGGACAAAAGTGACCCCAAAGTGAAGCCCATTGTTGCCAAACTCATCGCTGCCCTCTCTACACCCTCCCAGCAGGTATCTGCCGTCTGTCCTGGGACCCACATGTTAGTTAAGAGAATTGGGACCTGACTGTGGTTAGGCAGCGGGATACTAGGGGGGCAGTTGGAAATCAAGACCCAGAAACCCTGGTTCTTGGCAAGGATTCACCCCCTGTCCCAGGGCAGAGCCTGGTATATAGTCAGGAACACTCCTGGAGAGGGAGTTTCTTTGTTACTTTGTTCTAATAGACCTCCCAGATAGTTTCATTTTTTTTCTACTCACCCGGTTTACAGTCAAGAACACCCCTTGAGAGGGAGTTTCTTTGTTGCTTTGTTCTAATAGATCTAGATAGTTCTATGTTTTCTACTCACCAAGGTGCTCTGGGGATCCACAGGGAAAAAAAAAATAAATAAAAAAGCAGGTTTTCTTTTATGTCGAGCATTTTGCTGGGCCTTTCCATGTGTTGGTTATGTGTTGCAGATGCATTTTAATGTAGTCTCTAAGCAAGCTACAGTGCAAAGAAATTTCTTCGTTTTAAAAAGCATGCATTTATATATATATATATATATATATATATATATATAATATATATTTTTAATATATTTTAAAAATATACATATATTTTTAACATATATATATATATATATATTTTTTTTTTTTTTTTGCATTTGGACCCCCCAGAGTGTCCTCATAAAATGCACAGTTGCACTGGACATGGTGGCTCATGCCTGTAATCCTAGTGCTTTGGGAGACTTCGATGGGAGGATTATTGAGGCTAATAGTTCAAGACCAGCCTGGGCAACATGGTGTGATCCTGTCTCTACAAAAACTTTAAAAATAAGCCAGATGTAGAGGCCATGCCTGGGTGACAAAATGAGACCCTACCTCTAAAAACAAAACAAAAAAACAAAAAAGT